ACCCGCCCCCCCCTCCCCGGGACGGCTCCGCCGGCGCCCCCGGGTCCCCACCGCCTCAGCCCCGCTAACGGCGAAGCGCTCTCAATCCTCCCCGCCCCGCAACCTGTGCTAGCAGCGCGGGGGATCTCCTTCCCGGGCGGTCACCTCTCCATGGAAGTCCCCGGTAAAGCTTCCCAGGAAAACTGGCACGTGGTCTTGGCAGAAAAATCAGGCGGGGGCGGGGGGGGGGGGCTAGCAGGGATCCTCACAGCAGCAGGAGTCTCATAGCGGCGTGCCCAGCAGCGCAGGTGAAGGAGGTCAGCTCTAGAGCAGATGTCCAGGAGGACAAACGAAAGACCCGGGCTCGTGCAATGAGCAGGGGCAGGGCTGAAAATCAGAGTCAGACCTGCAGAAGCTCCAGCGCATCCCCGGTGAGATTTCCTCGCAGAGCGGCTTTAGCCTTCCAGCATTTCCTCAAGCCCGGGCCCGCGGCAGCCCCGGGGAGGACGTGAAGGCTGGAGGGCCCAGGCCACCTCCATGGGCCGGCAGCGCTCCCTGCCTCGCAGGACAGAGCTGCTCTTTTGGTTAGTGCCCGCTACAGCAGCAGGCACACAGTTCCCACTCCTCCCCTCCCAGCGAATGCTTGAATCACACCATGGATTCACGGGCAACTGGCTTTTGTTCTTGGGAGTCTTCGTCTGGGAATGAAGGCAATTATCACATCCCAGCGCCTCTGCTCGCTGCAGTAAATCTCTCACAGAAGAAGGGACCTTGGAGGCAGCTGCTCCGGGCTGCTTAGTCACCGCTGCCAGTTGGGAAACGGCCTGGCACTCGCAGACAGCACGGCACAGAGGGCCAAAGGCTGGCAAAGCAGCATGGCAGCACCGGGAGAGGGCTCTGCTGCCCGCTGCGGTTTGGCCAAAACTGGATCCTGCTTCCCTCGGTGATGGAGGGAGCAAAGGGTATGAGGCAGAGCCCAAGTTTACAACAAAGATCTTCAGCAGGAAAGTGCAAAGTGTTTTTCAAACTTAAGGCTGGATTAGGTTTAATAAGAGCAGAGTTCCCCAGCAGATCATAGAATCAGAATCCTAGAATGGTTTGGGTTGGAAGGGACCTTAAAGATCATCTGGTTCCACCCCCCCTGCCATGGGCAGGGACACCTTCCACTAGACCAGGTTGCTCAAAGCCCCGTCCGACCTGGCCTTGAACACTGCCAGGGATGGGGCATCCACAACTTCTCTGGGCAACCTGTTCCAGTGCCTCACCACCCTCACCGGGAAGAACTTCTTCCTCACTGGGAAGAACTTCTTCCTCACATCTAATCTAAATCTACCCTCTTTCAGTTTGAAGCCATTACTGCTTGTCCTATCACTACATGGTCTTGTAAAAGGTTCCTCTCTGGCTTTCTTGCAGATAGTAAACAATTTTCTTTATGCCCATGTCTTAGACAGAATTAAACACCTTTTGTAACAGCACTAAATGCAGTTTTCTGGTAGCATTAGAAATGAAATCCAGCCCACAACCTCCAGCATCACTCCTCTTTTCTATAGCCATACAAATAAACCATCCTCTGTGCACATGCAGACAAGTGAAGAAAAGTTTCCTGTGCTCACTGAATGCTGCCTGAGTTTCTAACCTCACCTACACAACTCCTCTGGATTTAAATTTGAACTAACTTCCACGATTACACACTGGACTTTCAAATAAGACTTGATGCTTTGGCTGGCATGAAGGATGGCTCTAGAGACTCTGGCAAGAATGCTTTGCTGGCTTTTCAAAGCAAAGGTCACAGCCAGCAAGTGGAACCTAGAAATTGGCACCTCATTGTCCTGTCACCTAAAATCACACCTAAAAGGCCCCAAAGAGTGCAGGCTCCTGGGCTGCTGAGCAAGTCCACAAAGCAGGGTCCAGTGCCTGGCCTGTTGGACGCTTCCTTTGGACCTCTCCGCTCTCCAGAGGGTTTCCTGCAGCCACATGCGCACATGGGCACTGCCATCTGTTTGCTCCTTGCCATGGCAGCAAAGTCGTCACCACCAGTGTTGGTAATTCATCATTGTATTGGCACTAATTCCCACAAAGCAAATATTCTAGCCAGTCAGCTGTCTCCTTAAGGCAACTGCAGTTCCTGAAGTCAGCCTCCATTCATACATCTCAAAATAAATTAGAAATAACAGAGATCTTAGAGTTAAGAGGTGTCCAGCCAGTGCAAGAAGACCTTGGTGAGTAGACATATGACCTTGGGATGGTTAGATGGTAAAATCCCAATGTACTTTTAATGCCTGTAAATCTCTCTAATAAGCAGCTGAGCAAAGGGCAAATTGTGTTGCGTGGTTTGGGTGATGCTGTCACTCTGGGTTAGCTTATTTTTAAATAGGTTGCAATTCTGTTTACATGCAGTCAATTTAAAAAATCAGCTCAGGTGCATTTTAAGAAGTGTTATCCTTACCAGTTAGTAAACCCTGATCTGCCACCCTCAAGGCACATCTTTCACACAACCCTTGGAAGAGCTTCCCAGCACATGGGCTAGCAACATGTTAATCTTTATAAATCAAATATTTGCCAAGTGGAGTAGAAAGCCATGTGTCTAAGCAAGATGCATTGAAAAATGGAACAAAGCGTTGTGTGTGTCAGAGATCACTAGGTTGTGTTGCAAGCCTGTCCCTTGCAGAGTTATCCTTCAAAATAACACTTCCCTAGCCCAGCTGCAAATGTTATTCCAATGCAGCGTTTGTTTTTTCCCACTTTTTACTGCACAAAACTGACCCTCTCTCTGACCCAGCTCCTCCTCATGGCATTTAATGTCACACAGACTTTGAATTAGATTCAGTTCTGACCTGAGACAGGGCTTGCCAAGTGTTGACTTAGGAGGCATTTGCAGAAGAGATGCAGACTTACCTCCCTCCCCCCAGTACTGGGGCTGTGAAAGTATGTCACACGCCTGCCGTATCTCAATTATTTTTCACTTTCACACATCTGAAAATTTCACAAGCTGCTGTTTGGTGCTGATGCCTCACACTGATACAAGTGCTGCTTCTGCCGTTCAAAGCTTCCGTGGTACCCTTATTTATCTGCATATGGATGTTTCTCTGCTTCTGCAAGGGATACTTCTGTCGTAGCATTTGGAAGGAACTGAAAGCACAGAGTCTCCATCCTAATAAACCATCCTTGACTGTCCAACTACTTACTATTCAGAAAGAAGAGTGAAGCAGTTGCTGCTTCTCTCTTGGCTAATGCCGAGCACTTGAAAAGGGGCAGTTGGGCTGTTTGTGAGTGCACAGGTAAGAATCGGAGCCTTCTGCTGCCTCTAATTCAGGCACTTCCTTGAGGAACACAGACAGAGCTCAGATGTCTCTCACATGCAGAAACTAAAACTCCGAGCAGCTTCTATGGGGCTAAACCACTTCTGCTTTCCAGTCCCACCAAAAAAGCCTTCCATCAAATGCCATCCACCTCTGCATGAGGGCATTGCATACAGGCAGTGTGTAACTTCCCCAAATAAAAGTCTGTGGCAGACTTAAGGCTGAGAATGGACAGTCTACCACTGAAACAGAACAGGACTAATGAATTTCTGTGTTCTCAGCCCGCATATTTAACACATCCCTGGAACAGACATTTCCATGCTAAAGCTCCTGTCCTTTTCCTCCCTACACCCCCGAGATTCCCGTGTGTGCAGAGAAATGGGACCTTGCTGTCCCATGAACTCCAGCTGGCTGAAAGGCTGCTGGCTTCTGTTCCTGCAGGACCTCCAGGTCAGCTTTCCCAAAAGAAGATTCATCAG